TTCCTGGTGGGCTGTGTTGTGGTGTTACACCCTCAGCACACCAGCCTCAGACCTTTGTTTTCAGCACAGAGAGGCGGAAGCGTTCCACACGCAGCGAGCTGTGCCTCGCATCACTAAGCGGGGAAGCTGTTTATTCTGTCAGCCCACCCCAGCCAGCCAGGCCACATTCATTTTGTGGCTTTAAGAAAGGGGCTGGATGACAAAAAAAAAAACTTGTGTTTACAGGGTTCTGTAAGAGGGCTGTCCAAAAACAGGAACCAAAAATTGGGAAGGAGGGCACTTTGTCATCAGGCTTTGGTGAGATGCTGTTTTGGAGAGCCTAGAAAGTTGTCCGAGCACCAACACCTGCAGTCTCTGACAGGCTAGTTACTTCCTTTTCTGTGAGGACTGGTTAAATGCCACTTGTTTATTATTTGACCTGTTTTTTTTTTTTTTCCCTCACTGCTGTTATTATTAGTGATCTAGAAATATTGCAGACAAACAGAAATGAAACAAGCTGCCTTCAAGACGTGGAGAAAAGGAAAAAAAGATCAAAGATCTTCAATTAAAATAGAGGGAGACAACAAAGGACAATGTGCCCCTGATTCCAGCTATTTTTAAATTCCAGACCTGATCATCTCTGCGGCAACACCCCATTAAAAATAGGACTCCAGCTGCTCCAGGACAGCTGTGGGATTTCCGGGGTGGTGATGGGCATCCCACACAGCCTCTTGCTCCGGGTCAGCTAGGACCTACCCACACCGCCCACAGACCCAACCCTGAACAGCAGCTGTGCAGAGCAGGGGATCCAAGGAGTCCGCATAGATAGGAGCAAGAACAGCTGCTCCATGCTGTGCAGCCACCTTGCAACTCTGCCCTCATCTGGACTGAACAGGTCTGTCCATGCTCTTAGAGTTCTTAAACCCAAGTTTATAGGCCAAACACCTCTTATTAAAATCCATCTATCTGGTTCAAGTAAGCACGGTTGCCTTGGTGATGAGGAATTAGGACTTTTCCTTCCTCTGCACTGCAGTGAATGTGCCACATGCCTATTCCATTGCGGGCATGGGAGATAAGCTAGAAGGGCTGTTGGGAGCTGCAGGACAACCATCCGTTGTTCCCCAGTAGTCATGCTGGGGACGCAAGACTGCTTATCTTTGCTAAGGGCTTCCCATGTGCTGGGTGCTCAGCATGTTGGGAGATAGACATCTCAGACACAGTTTGGGGTGAAAATATAAGATAAATTATATCTCTGAGGTACACACCTGCTGGAATATGGCACTGTTGTGCATGTGGGAACACCTTTAGTGGATGCAGCTTGTTCAAGATAGCAGGAGTTTGATGTGCTCCATGGGCTGTGCAGTGTCTGGCTCTCACAGAAGATGCATGGAAAGGAGCCTGGCCCCATGGACCGTGGGCAAGCTGTGGCACCAGTCTTGTGCAGCTTTAGATATGGTACCTGAGAGGTACTTCCAAGGAGAGTGTAATGTCTTCTGTTGTTTTAGGGGAGAGAAAGGTTGCTTAACCTGAACTGTTGCTAAATGAAGAACATGTCTCAACTTCAGGGAACTCTGAGTTAATCATAGAATAATAGAATGCTTAGGTTTAGAAAGGACCTTTAAGACCACCTAGTTCCAACTCCCCTGATATAGGCAGAGACACCTCCCTATAGATCGGGTTGCTCAAGGTTCCATCCAACCTGGCCTTCAATGCTTCCAGGGAGGGGAATTCACAGTGCTCTGTCAGTGATGGAGAGACAGCCTGGCAGGCAGTCCTGACCTCCTCAAGGAATAGCTGATGTAGGAGTAATATAAGCAAAATTAAAGGAGATTAAATACAACCAGCAGCACTAATTAGGGTTTTATTGAAAAGAATTGTTTTGGTACTATACTTGGGCTTCCGTGAGAAATAATACTTGATACTGCATGAGGGCTTGACTAAGAAACTTGAAATGATGTAATCAGTTTGGGGGCGTGCTGGATGGATTCAAAGCAAGTCTGAGGGACAGAAGTAAACCAGTTGAGGAGTCTTCAAGGATGCCCACATACTGTGTGAACCTACACAGACTGGTTTTATCCCTGTGGGATTTAACTCTCTTAAAGCCCAAGATCGGACTATGACTATATGCTGATGGCTCTATGTCTGAGGAAGTGGTAAATAACTGGGAGAAAAGACTACTGGGAGAGTGAGCTGATTCATCTGGGTTTAGGATGGGCATATCTGCAGTTGAAGGATGTGGGCCATGATTATGGAATAGCGTTGATGGTATTCTCAAATTTTGATGCTGAATGTGTTGAAGATTGTAGAGAAAAATCTTACGAGGAGTATATCCTCATGTGATGCTGGAGCCTGAAAGGATTCAAGCAGTCCTTGTATATATTAACTGATCCTAGAAGCAATCCTGATACAGATAGATATACACAAGTATGAGTGGCAGATCATCTAACTTCTGGATTTATTCCTGGTGTAACAGGGACAATCTGCTCCATGCTGATGTCTACATCTCCAACATACTGGTCCCAGGAAGATCCATGAAAATGCTCAAAAGCCTTAGAACTTACACCTTATACAGAAAGAGCCATTGACAATCGTCTGTTTGACAAGGATAAGAGTGGTGTGAGTACAATCTGTGTGCAGTTGTATGAGGCACACACCTACAGCATGAGTAAGTTGTTTGCTCTCCTGGGCAACAAACTCCAAAACCAAGACAAATTAACACCAAAAGGAAGATGCAGCTTTTTTAAACTAACTAATCTCTGGGATAACTTAGATAGTAACTAAACTAGACTAGTTGTCTTTGGGACAACTTTAGAAGTTGCATGGAAGCTCTGCCATCACCTATTTCCAAACCATGCCGGATGTGAAAAAAAAAAAAAAGAAAAAAGAAAAGAGAACAAAACAAGCCCACACCCTCAGAGCTATGGTTTGAAAGTCCCAGGTCAGCAGCTGCCAAATAGCTCCAGCTGGCCCAAAAACCCACAGCAAGGTTTTAGCTGGTACATGCCCTCTGCAGTTTGGGGTTTCAGGTATCATAGTGGTGCTGGCTCTGCCTAACATTCCCTGTGAGGTACCAGGGAGGGGGCACCCAGCCCCCAGCCACCAGATTTAGCAAGCCTCTGACAGAAATAGATTTCTTGTGTAGTTACACAGCAGCAGCGTTTTAATTTCCAGTCTCAGCCTAAGCAAGCATGAGAGCACAGGTGTTGGCTCAGCACCTGGTAGGATTAACATAGTTAGAGAAGTTCATTTGCTGAGCTGGGCTCTTCCAAACCCTACCAGGGAGGATGGACATCTTACTCTTATAAGAAAAGCAGGTCTACCCCCAGTATGGGTGGACTTACATGGTCTTGGAAGCTCAGCAGGAGCACTGCAAAGCACAGGAGCACCAGCGGACCCACCAGAGGTTTTGTCAGGCACAGGTCTATCTTTGCTATTACCCATTTTTTTCCCCCATACCCTGTAATTAAAACTGGTGTTGCATCTCCCTATGCCAATCCTAACCAGCCAAAAATACATTTACCTGCTAACCTGCTCAGGAGAACAAAGAGATGGATGAAGGGGAGGGTGAATGCTGTGCCATACTAACATGGGGCTTCCAGCTGTAGGTCTGGGAGCCAGCATCCTGCTGTGAGCTGCATGTGGATGGAGTGGAAGATGTGGGCACCAGCCCCTAAGCCAAAGAGTGATCCAGGTTGGAAGGGACCTCATAGAATGACTCTTGCTCCCAGCAAGGTCATGGAGAGGTTCTAAGAATGTCCCTGCCTTAGAAAAGCCAGCCTCCTCTAGCTATTGCTCTAGCTAGCTGTGCTGAATAGCCCTGCCAGAATCAACATAGCTGGGAGGCTCAAAAGGACTTTTCAAGAGCTGTATCTTTCCTGATACAAATATCTAATACATTCTTCTCTTCCCCTCCTACCCTGCTAGTTAAGAACATGGGCTACAGACTTCAGAAGCAGCAGCAACACCCACCTAAATCCCGTCACAGAAATCCACATGGAATAGGAGCAGGTTGCTGATCATTGCAAGAGGCAGTCTCCCCTTACGAACTGTGGGCATGCAATTCCCAGCACAGGCTGATCTGGCCCAGGGGTGCCAGCTCCTCCCTGGGCTGTTGGGATTTTTGCCCAAATGCAAATGCTCTGACCTCTCCTTTCTGCAAATCCTTTGCCCCTCTGAGCCAGAACTATGACACAGGGCAAGGAGCCGGGTCATATATACGTGAGAAATGTATCTGAGCACAGACAGTACATCACTGAAGTTGCTTTCTTTTCTGGGCTGATGCCTTTCAGTGAGGCTCGGATAACTTGATTTGGCACCATTCACTGCTAAGTTTTCCATACCAACCGCAGCTGAGCTTTGTTTAAATGAGGTTTGCTGAAGCAGTACTGCAAGTGAGTTTAAAGGGTCACAGTCCCTGGAGCTGGTCCAGGTGGCTCTTTGTGCCTCCAGCTCCCTTGGAAACTGCTTAGGGTTGGGAGATTTGCATGAGCCATATCCCCCAGCCTCGCTCAAGTGCAAGTGGGAGCAATGAGTAAGGCACAAATTACAACCTGTGGGCCCTCCAGTTGTCAGGACAAGAAACTATGGCACCAACTCTACCCTGGGCTGCAGAGGCTGGAGAGGAGGAAGCTACTTTTACAGAGATTATTTAGGTAGCCCATTGCCTTCAGCCCCTGTAGGCAGCCCCTAATGCTTTAAGGGCAGCTGCACGTGTGGCATTGAATGGCAAATGTGCAGCTTTGCAGCTGTTGTAGAAAACACGCTTGGTGTGTCCACCCCGCTTTCTTCTTCTGCAATAAGCTCCTTGCTGAGGAAGCAAGCTGCTGAGCAGTGTGAAAGTTGTTTTTATTATGTCTGGGGTTGCTTTTGTTCCCTATTCTTTCAGGGAAAAGAAAGCCTGATTACCCTGACACTTTGGATTCAGTAGAGAACTTCAGATTTACCCGAGAAATACCACCCAAGCTAGGAACTGCCTTTAGTCTGTGCAGGAGAATAATTAGTTGAATAAAAGACGACTTTACCTTCTTCAAAGGCATCATCTTCTTCCCCAGATGCAACCGGGTCTTCTTGGGTGTGCTGCATCGTGGTGAGGGTGCAGCTCAGGGCAGCAGCCAGAACTGAATGCTCACACCAGTTCCTACACTAAGAGAGGCTATTTCCTCTCACTGGTTTCCTAAACATCGTGGTTGCAACAGTTTCCGCTTCTGCATTTGTGAAAGCAGACTCATTCATACAAATAGTGAGAACTGTTGGTGATAGGTGGATGGTTGGACTGGATGATCTTTTAGGTCTTTTCCAACCTTGGTGATTCTATCATTCTATTTCTATGAAATAATGATCCATGGTCTTACTGAAGGCCTAGGGATCAGCTCTGAGTTGTGCAGAGGGGAGAGGAGGAGATAGGATGGGAGAGGAGAGATCAGCAGAACCGTAGACATCTGGTGCAAAACTTTCTGTCAGTAATAGGCATGTTATATGTAGATCTCTGTCACTACTAATTCTGCATCTCACCATCCCTTTCACTGGCTGTTTTCTGAACTTTGTGAAGCAAGTTGACTTCCTCCTGCCAGGTCCCTCAGTTTATAAGAGGGCCATACCCAGGAACTTAAGCTTGCATAAAAACACACTTGGTGTATACGCTCAGGTGATGCTCGAGCCTTGGATAGTCCCAGTGCTTCATGAGGCCACTCACATGGCATTCACGTGCATATGTGTACACGCAGGTGTGGGGGCACAAAGTGGTAGCCTGCCCCATCTGCTGTCAGCATGATGGCAGCGGACCTGCACTGAGCTCTGATCACTTGGTTTTGTAACCGCATGTGCCACCACAGCCTTGAAAGTGCAACTCCCAGCACAGCGATGGTCACTGTAGCTTCCAGCAGATGAGTAACAACCAGAGATGAGTTCATCCCTAATTAATGTTTTGGTTTTTTTATCCTTTTGAAAGCTCTGCCACTGGGTTTCTGCAGGGCTGAAAGACAGCTGACCTCCTAAGCAGCACACAGCTTAAATAGGCCCAAGTGGAGAAGATGAGACAGAAGACAGAACAAGCCCCATTAGGGCACCTAAACCTAACCCCAGCCCAGGCCTCAGAGCCACGTGCATCTGTCCCAGAGCAAATCCTGTGGCGGTACTTTTGATGATACAGAAAGGCCTAAATCCCCTTCCCAGCTTGAGTACTGTTCTCTGCTCCCTGGAAGGTACCTCCTCCTCTCCCCTGCCTTCATGCTGCCTACATGGCCAGGCTTCCTTCTGCCCCCTTTCCCAGGAGAGAAACTGTTTTCCCAACTGGGTATGGAAGAGGCTGAGAGCCTCCTAGGTATGAATTTTGGTGTAACTGCTGTTTGTTCCAGGCAGTAAGCTTCTCCCTGAGGAGCTCAGGTCCCAGGAGGCTCTCTCTTGCTTGTCTTTGCTTTAACACCACACTTGTTCAAGTCCCCGTGGGGAAAATAAGGCAGTTTGGCCTAGTGGCTAAGGGAGAAGACTTGGCTCTGGCCCTGCTGGGCTGGCTTCTTTGTAAACTTCCTCTCTTCATCCTTTTTCTTCTCCCATTTATTGAAGTGACTTCTGCAGGTGGGGACCATCTCTGACGAGGTCTATAAGCTGAAGCCTATTGCATGCACTCCAAAGGAGCATCCTTCAGCCTCAGTAAGGCTCTCCTGACCTCACAGTGCTGGCAAGTAGATGAAGAAAGTGGTAAAAAGAGAGAAGCACTGCTATGGGATGCTAAGAGGAAATGAAGCAGAAGAAGGGATCAGTAAGAGAGTAGAGAGAGACAGAGAGAGAGAAGTACTGTCGTGGAGGGAGGGGTTGGCTCCTCCTTGGGCATTTCTGAAGGGGAAAGTGCTGACCCTGAGGGGTGGTGGGATCAAGCTTTGAGAAAGCTACAGGCTGGTCACAGAAAGGAGAAGTGCAGAGGGTAGGGCAGCCACAGTGTGTACATTGCATTAAAGTGCTTCCTGGCAAGAACTACTCCCAGCAATGGGCAGTCGCTGTGTTTCACTTCCTTGAAATATCAGGAGAAACGTGAGCTTCTGAAAAGCCATGGAGAACATAGAATGGTTTGGGTTGGAAAAGACTTTAAAGTCCACCCAGCCCCACCACTGCCATGGGCAGGGCTGCCCCCCACCAGCTCAGCTGCCCAGGGCCCCATCCAACCTGGCCTTGAGCACCTCCAGGGATGGGGCACCACAGCTTCTCTGTGCAAAGAGGAGCCTCTGAGGACTAATGAAGACCAGAATAGGCTTTGCTAATCCTGCTGAGTATTTTGGAGCTCAATTCTGATAAATTTTAAGGTTAGTGGTGCTGCACATAGGGGTGTAAATTGCTCAAACCATGCAGCCAGCCTCTCAAAAAGAAACCTGGGGAAAATACTGTGCTACAGAAATAGTGACTCTGCTGTGTTATGCTGCAACAGGAGCTCTTTTGTAAGTCGGTCATGGGAAGTGTTAGCCATTTACTTCAGAAAGATGAAGGAGCAAGCCACTCTATCCTGGTTATTGTGGCAGTTCCCTTTTGTGCTGCATTTCCCTGGGAAGTTATTTCCTCACTCACTGTTTTCAGTTGGCATCTCCGGATGCCTGTTACCTTGACAGCCCTTTTTGTTTTTAGTTTTGGGAATTAAAAGGGATCAAAAGCTGTCCTCTCTCCCAAAAACAGCTGTCACAATCATGAGCGCACCAGCCGCGCTGGTGATGAATGGTAATGACTCAGCGCCCATTGCAAATGCACAAAGACGAGTCACTTTGATTCGTTCCCGTTTGTCTCATTGTCTCATGATGGCAGCCTCACCTTCATCCCCACAGCACACGGTGTTCCACCAGGCCTCCAGATGACCATCGTGCCCTTCCCTTGAGGCAGGATAGCTCAGCACAGAATGTCACTAGGGTCCCTGCCCACCTTTGCATTTGGGGAGCTGTAATTTCACTCTGCTGGTTGGCATGCCTGTGTCTCTGCTGTTCACGGATCTCTCAGGTTGGATATAAGGAAAAAATACTTCTTATAAAGAGCGGTGAGGCAGTGACACAGGCTGCCCAGGGAGTTGGTGGGGTCACCATACTTGGAGGTGTTCAAGAAATGCGTGGATGTGGCACTGAGGGATGGGGTTAATCAGCACGGTGGAGATGGACTGATGGGTGGACTAGATGATCTTAGTGGCTTTTTCCAACCTTAATGATTCTGTGATTCTACTATTCAGACCATACATAGTGGCTTCCTCCCAGCAGTATTTTGTAGCATTTCAGCCTTTTTTTTTTTTTTTTTTTCCCCTCTGTACGCACAAGAAGTACATACAATCTTATTCTTTTCAAGCTTTTTCAAAACTCAGTAACTTTACCTCCTGGCTAACAAGGCCCCACACCACACTAAAAAAAGAAAAGAAAAACAACAAAATCCACCCTGCAGGTACTGCACAGCTCTCGTGTGTGTGCTTTTCACAAAACCACATCTGATACTGCTACCAGAAAAAGCCACCACCCATGGTCTAAGAACCAGTCAACAAAGCACATGGGAGACAAGGGCAATGTCAAAAACAAGGGTGGATCAAGAACGAGCCGGCAGCTTTTAGAACAACTCTTTTCAAATCTCTCTACCTTTAACTCTCTTCCCTTGCAACTTTAAGCAGCTCCCATCTCAGCAACCTGCCCTGCCATCCAGCGTTGGCCATGTGTGGCACATGGCTCCAGACTCCACGTGTCTGCTTTCCAAGAGCCACATCTTTTCTAGAGAAGCCTGCTGAGTCTCACTGGAGTCCTCAGGAAAGCACACCGGGTCTGAGAGGGATGCATTAGTCATGTGCTAAATATGGGACAGAAATAATAATTTAGCACTTGCAAAGAAGACAGTAGTTACTTCGTGGTTAGACTGTAGCCTAAGAAAGGGGAATTATGCTCGGTACCACATGTGCAGATGGGAAAATTGCCCTCAGTGGTGAAGAGTTGTGTTCTTGGGCAGTATTTCTACCACGTTGCAGATGGTCTTCTCAAGAAAAGTTTTTGCCATACCAGGGAAAGAAAATATTTTGCGCAGTTTGCTTGCTTTGTTTTTATATTCTATGACAAGTCTGAGATACAGTGCTAAACCTGTGTCAGACTGTAAAGGTAAGGAAAAAAAGAATTTTTGACCCAGCACAAAAACACTGTGTTCTGGCATTTTATTTACAAATGCAAGTCTAAAAGCCAAGATATTTTTACTTTACAAAAGGTCTAAAAGTGTGCCATTTGGCTGTGTTAGATGGGGTTATTTTAATTCATCTCTACCTTAAATTCCAAAATGTCCACAAACAACAGGAGAGGAGGGCTGACTCATTTCTACCCTGCTGTGCTGGTGTGGAAGGGAGGGGTCTTAAACAGGCATCTGCCCTACTCAGGCCCCTCCTCCCTCAGCACCCAACACACAGCCAAGTCCTGCCACTGAGGGTCTGTTGGTGCCCCATGTCATTTTAGGACTGTCTGGGCACAGAAGCTGCCTTGGAAGAATAACCTGCACAGCAAATAAGGAGAAAAAAAAAGAAAAAAAAAGGAAGGTGGATTAGGAGGGAAGGAAGGTGACCTAAGGTATGAAAGGGATATGAGGAAGGTGGTCGAGGCTAGTTGCTGCTCAGTTTGGGGAGGGGAGTGCCCACAAAGGTTTAGCATACCCATAGAGATTCTGCTCTGGATGTTGCCACAGTGTCAGTTCTCCTGATAAACACCCTCCTTAGAAACATCAAGAATTGAGTTACAGTGTTGTGTCTAGTTGTTAACTCATTTGCAAGTTACAGGGACTCTGGGGATTTCAGTTATATTTAGGCATTCTGTGCCGGTGATTGACTGGGCTTAGTGTAGTTTTCTCTTTGCCAAACTCTTGAAAGCTTTTGCACTTTTTCTTCAAATTTTTTTGCTTTCCATTTTTAATGGGGACACTTGTGTGTCCCTCATGCTGTGTACAGTGAACCACATGCCCTGGAAGTCACTTACATGTGTGTGTTTAGGTGTGTCGCTGCCATCCACAGCACCACAGCACCTACCTAATAGGCTCATCAAAGATAACTTTGGCTTTTTACTCTGTTCTCTTACCCCATTATTCATGAAAATATCAGTTAGCCTATTAAGGTAAATTATTTCCTTCTCATGGCAAAATCCTATTTCAGTTTAAAGGGATTCAAAGGTGA